CTGAAACTTGTTAGTCAGTTGATAGTAATTTGACTGGTGGCTGTGTTTGTCATCACTAGGAAACAGTTTGATTTAAGTCTCACTAGACCCTGTAGCAGCTGAACAAAACTAGTTTATGCACCTTTAATGAAGGCCGAATTTCAGTGATGTCAGTTCCGTGGGTCTGGTCTTGTGTTCACTAGCACAAGCTATTGTTAACGGTATTAATAACACCTGTGCTTCTCCTGCAATGCTGAGTGAAAATGTCTGCTGTGAAATAAATGTGTAGTTGCTGGAATTAACATGACACGCTGCATTCAGTTGACCAATGGAATAAGAAAGCCTAAATTACCAAATGGCACATCACCAACAAACTCTGGAAATCTGCTTTAATTATGTGTTTAATGTGAATATTCCCAATCAGAACCCTACTGTGTGCCAACACACATTTTCTCAGCTCTCTCTAATTGGCTGTTTAATACTCATTAAACATCCAGGATACTTTCAGCCCACACACCGCAGTGCTACAGGTGGTCCTCATTAAACACAGTGAAACATGCTTAATCTGATAGCAAAGGCAGCTTTATAAATAAAATATAACATTTATTATTCATTTGGCTAATAAGATCAAACTTTCTCATGTGCTATTTGTCTTGACAAAGATAGCTGAATATTTTTAATTTTGACACCAATTGAGAATGAAACAGTGTCAATTTCATGGTTATTTAATAGGCTACATTTATGCATTAGTAAATTAACTGTAAAAGTCTTAAACTATAGTAATTATATATTCAAAAATACACTGATCAGCCATAACATTATGACCACCTGCCTAATACTGTGTACACAGGATGCAGTGCTGCACTTGGTTGGCTTTCGTGTCACTCTGCAGATCACTGTGCATCTTCTTTGAATCCGTTTGCTTCCATCATTATACTGTCAGGAATGAAATGTAAAAGTTTAATCTACAGTAGGTCAACTCATCATCAGTGAGTCTTGGTCCATGGGTCTGTCGCCAGCTGTCTGTCCTTCCTTAGACCAGTGGTGGTGCTAACCACTGCGGACAGGAGCAGACCTACAATCTGGGAGGTGCTCTGACCCAGTCATGCAGCCAGCACAGTTTGGCCCTTCTCAAAATCACCAAGGTCGTTCCTGCACTTGCCCATTTTTCCTCCTTACAGCATATTAACTTTGAGGACTGAATGTTCACTTGCTGTGTAATCTACCGACCGACATTATTGTACGGAGATAGTCAGTGTTATTCACTTCACCTGACAGTGGTCGTAATTGCTAATCAGTGTATGCTGGTTACTTTTCCAAAGTAATTAGCAGAGTCTATTAAAATTCCTTTTCCACTCCCCCTTGGCAACATCACACCTTTAATCAGTTCACTTATAGAGCAAACATACTCTAGAGCAACAACTCAAGGCCAACATCTTATCTCTAATCAGTAATACTTAGAAAAGTATGTATGCATGTGTGTGTGTCCCTAATTGGACTTTACTCTTTTACAGTCGACAGACATGTACAGCTTGATTTGGAAAGATAAAAAGTACACATGAAGCTGGGGCAGTGTTCTTCTAAAAACCTGTGCTCAGCATTTGGCTCAAGGAAACACACACTCATGCACACATACACATTTGTACAGCTATTAACTTAACTATCACAACTAAATGTCAAACCCCAGCCCTTACTCCTGACCTAACCCTGATTCTAATACTTAACCCTAAACCCAAGACTTAACCCTTTGAAGGTGTCTCAGAAAGTAAGGACTGGCCATAATGTCCTCACTACCATGTATAAAACTGGTCCTCACAGTGTATAACAACACACACATGCAGAAAACTATGGAGAGATTGTGAGTGCCTGAGAGGACTCCCTGAGAGGCTGCACAATGTGCTTTTTGACCCATGTTTTTTTCTTCTTCCCATGCAGTGTCACAAGGTCAGGTAAGTGTGGGGTTGGTGGTGGGGAGCTCTGTGTGTGGCCACTGGGGCTTTAAGGGGTGGTGCTGAGGCTGCAGCCAAGCCCTTGTGGTGTTCCTGTCTGAGTTACAGACTGGGAAAAAAAAAGTGTTGGGAAAACACAGGCTGGGATCCAATAACAGAGTCATCATGTCTAAATAAACCGTCCCCTCCTGAGTCCATTCAACACATCCAGGCTCTGCTCAGTGGCCCTTCCAAGAGAATGTTTTCTCCAAAGTCATTGTTTGCCATCTTATAGTCAAAAAATGTCTTATTTAGGAAAGCGACACCTGTTTATAGTACTGTCTTGACTGAAATAGGAGCTGCAAGCTGAAATATTAAAAAAAAAAAAAAAAAAAAAATCTTTGTGTTGTTTTATGAAAGAGAAAACACCTTAAACATTCTTGTTAGACATAAAAAACCCAATTTCTTTGTGAATAACTCAACAGGGTACTTTAAGTTAAAGCGGAACACACCTTTAATTCCATGTTAAATGGAAACATTTTTCTAAACCAGTCAGAGTTATGTGTCAAAAACAAAAAGCATTGTAAATGTAAAGCTGGCGGGGACCATTCTTAAAGATTTTATCTGCATATGCCTGCTGTATTGCAGTTGGTGGCAATGACTCATGAATTATTGATTAGTGTGCCCACAGTCTGCAAATTACATTTTTAATGGAATCAACAAAACAGTATTATTTTAGTCTAAGACTTAAAAATATATAAATAAATAGACACTTTGAGACTCTGGAACTCTTAGGGTGCCCAAACTTTTGCACCATGCCATAATAATGTTTTTATTTTTTATTTTTGTTCAATTTATGGCATAAGAAGTAACTATGCATCACTGTTTGCAGAAAATATTGTGCATTTTTTCCATTTCCAAGAGAAACTGTGTTAACATCTGTTCAAATAAAAAATCACCAAAATCTGTTATTTATCAAGGGGTGCCTAAACTTTTGCATAAGACTGTATATACACAGTGGCATTAAATAGCCATAAACCATTTACCCAGCTGGTAACACTCCGGTTGGGGTTCAGGCTTTTTTCCTCTCACCTTTCACATTTACAGAATCTCGTGTTGCTAGGATGTGTTTTGATATCTGTACTGCTAAAGCTTCCTAGCTGACCTCTCACCCTTATTCCTGCCTTGTGCCAGTAAAACAGTCTGCTGGCACTTCAGTGCTGCCATCAGACCCAGAGAGTGGGGAAATGATACCCAGTAACACAAACACAAACATGTACTGTGTGTGAAGACTCCAGTCGTAGAAGAAGTACTGAGATTGTTTACTTAAAGGGCCCATGGCCTGCTTTTCCATGTTTTTGACTTAAAGCTCAAAAAATGAGGTGTATGCATGTTCTAGTATTTCTATCCAGAGGAATGGCATGCTTTTCCTTGTGAATTTCATCTTAGATGTGACCTTAAGCTCAAAAAATTAGGTGTACATACAGTAGTATGTTCTAGTACTTTTATGCAGAAGCAACTCAGTTTATCTAACTTTCACATACTCTCGCTCATGAGACTTTTTTTTCTAACAAAAACTGTTAAGGATTTCTCTGAATGGTCATAATCTACAGGCAGTTGCACATTCATGCGAGTTTGCTTGACATATACTGGTGCCATTGTAAAAGTGTAATTTTTCAACTGCACCCGGTTTTGTGGATATATTTTTTACTGCATGTCTGGGAATGTTCCTGTACAGGGACTTGCTGTTTTATCTGACCGGGTCTAACCTACAAGCAGCCGGCCTGTGAAGCACCCCGTGGCGGTGAATGATCAGTTCTTCAGTGCTGGATTCCCCTGGAACACAGTACCTGTTTTGACTGCTTGAGGCCAGTGTGTCTGCAGCATGTAATGTGTTGCTGATTAACCAGCAGATTAACGACCCATGATGTTATTGTTGTGACTGCGCTACCTGTTGGAATTAATTTCACTACTTTGAGACTGTATGTGGTCGTGTGGGTGAAGATGCGACAACCACTGGTTGGATTTACCGATCTTAGAGCTACTTGAAAGGGAGTGATGTTTCCATTACTCGGTGGGACTTAACGGTGAATAAAGAAATAATAATAAAAAAAAACATCCAAAACCCCCCCCCCAAAAAAACATTGCATGTCTGTTAATGCCTTGTTTCCATAACGTTAGAGAAAATTGTAAGGCTGGAGAAGTTACTATGTCTGCATTATGCCAGTTAAAATATGGCGTTTCTCAATTACCCGCTTTCTTTAGAGTGTTACACATTTCTTTTCATTGGTGTATATATACACACACCTTTGTTTATCCATCTATGGAGGAGAAATTCACATTAATTAATGCCATCGCGGTTCGTTGTGCTTTCCACTTGCAAGACAACACAGGCACCAGGGGTTGTGCAGGTTCACAAACATTGCATGTCTGTTAATGCCTTGTTTCCATAACGTTAGAGAAAATTGTTGTAAGGCTGGAGAAGTTACTGTCTGCATTATGCCAGTTAAAATATGGAGTTTCTCAGTTACCTGCTTTGTTTAGAGTGTTTTCATTTGTACATATACCATCATTCACCTATCTGTGGAGGAGAAATTCAAATTAATTAATGCCATTGCGGTTCATTGTGCTGTTCACTTTTGACACAACACCAGCAACAGGAGTTGTGCTTGTTCACGAACTATCCCCTCGTTTTTACTTACATACAAAAGTACGAGCCACAAGTAAAAGTAGTCATAATTTGAATTACTGCTGGGTAGCTTGTGAATTTCCCACTAGGGATCAGTAAACTCTTATGATCATATTGTATTTTGTGTAGTAAATTTGATTCTGAAAAGTCACTAATAATGAAAGTTATCCAATAAATGTAGTGGAGTAAAAAATATAATTTTTTTTTCTCTAAAGTGTAGTTAAGTCAAAGTGTGAAGTAGCAGAAAAGGAAAATACTTGAGTAAAGTACAGATACCTCAAAATTATATTCAAGTACAGTACTTGAATAAATGTACTTAGTTACTTTGCACCTCTGGAAGGCTGTGAATCTTATTTTAATTAAGAACAAATGAATGAGGAAAGCAGTAGAAAACACTAATGTACCAGGTGAACGTAGGGCACATAGTATCCATAGAGGGCTGCAGGAACACCGAAGGCCCAAATGCGATATCCCAGAGACTTCCAGATGTTGATGTTGAACACCTGGCTCATGGATGGGCACCGGCTTCTTGTTTGGGTGTTAGTGGACTTGGCAGGCAGTAGGGGCTTGTAGGTGAAGCTGGCCAGCATCAGCACAAACATAAGGATACAGAGGATGCGTATGGTGTGCTGGAGGCCCACCTTTTCCAGCAGGCGCGACAGCACAAAAGGTAAAGTAATGGTAAAGATGCTGCTGCCTGCAGTCACAATGCCGTTCACCAGGCCCAGGCGCTTCTTGAAATAGTGGCCCAGGATAACCAGGCTAGGCTGGTAGGCAAAAGAGCATCCGCAGGCGAACACAATGCCATAGGTGAAGTACATGGGGCCCAGAGACCTGCAAGGGAATGAAACATTAGCCTTTTAACTCACTGCTAACATCACAGGTTTTCTAGGAGAAAATTCATCCACAAAACATCTCCCAGCAAAATTTGCATCAGTGCTCCTAAATAAATTCTCATGACACTGGTTGTAAGATGAGAAAAGGTCAGAAAAAGCCCTGTGAGCTGTTGTGTACATGGCTCATTATGCAGTGTTTTGCTCTAAAGAAGCTCCATCTACCAGCTGACTCCAACAACAAGATGAAGAAACATTGTGTAAAACATTGTGTATTATGGTTGTTTTTCTTTTTCATCTTTATACAGACAATCAGTGGCTGTTTAAAAATGATAAAACTGCAAAAAGAGATGGGAGCTTTGTTATTATTTAATGTTTTAGAATGTGGACAAGAGGTAGAGAATAACTTTCTCATCTCCTCCCAAACTATACTGTAGCTGTGCTGCCTACTTATGCACTGCTCTTGTTGCCAGTGTAGTAGAAAATTACTAAAGTTGAATGGTGCAGCTATGTTGCTTTATTAAAACAAAATAGTGTGCATCTCTCCCTCTCTCTGAGTGTTACAGTACAGAATGTCAGATAAAAGTACTGAGAGAAACGTGTGACCACAGAAGCAGTTGCAGAGCTTGGTATTTAGACAGTAAGAGTGAGCCTTGAGTTGCTGGGAACTGAGAGAGACAAGTAAAGTGGCTACAGTTGGTATGGAGTATATGAGAGACACAGATGAGGCTGCACACTTTGGTAGGCATTATCCTCGCTATGTGTGTCTTGTTTAAGCATCAATAAAGAATGACAATATTGAAAAGTCTGAATCTTCTGGTTATGGTCTGATAGAACTGCCACAACACCAGCAGTAAAGGATCACGGTCATTTTGTCATGATCTTTTTGGTGAATGTATCTAACCAGAGGTCACTTTTTTTTTTTTTTAATAATGACAAAAATCTGAATGCCATCTGTCATTTTGACAGATTTAGAACACCAAGAATGATCTAGCCCATTAATTGCTATGTCGTTGATAAAGTAATTGAAAAAAGAGAAACAGATGTGGTGGGTGAAGGACAACTGAGACAAATTCCAACGCATCTTGCTACCCAGGAGCTAACAGTACATTGCACAGCAACAGACTAGAGGCCACGGAGAACATCTGTGACCACCATGGCTCACAGAAGGGGTGCAGAAGGACCATATACAGTGGACTCCTCCTAGTGGAGTGAGTGTTTCAGGATCGTGAAATCCCACTTTCAGAGCAACTTCTACTCACTTCCATAAAGAAATATTCCCTGACTTCAACCCTTTGGCTAAAGTGGACCTGGCATTTCCACTCGCAAGTGCAGCAGCAGAGCACTTCAGCTTTCAGACCAAAATTAGAATGGGCATGAGAAATTAACTGAAGATGCAAAACCTAATAACAAGGTCAGCTGACTTCAATTCAGTCAGCCTAACTTCTTGTAAAAAATTCAATCATATTTTAATGATTATTAAATAAATTTTGTAAAACTGAATTGTTCATATCTGCTTGTTAACACACAATGGCCAGTGCTTAGTGACTCCATTGTCACTGCAGAAAAAAAAGTCATCCTGGTGTTGACAAGGCAAGGCCCTTAATACTACCTGCCTACCTCATCGGTAATGGGAGTTGGAAAAATAAGAGTCACACCAGCTTGGATGTCGCTCGGGTCAACAAGGTCCACGTCAAGTGTTGAGGAACCAGGGAAACCTGATGAGAAGTGGGCTACTGGAACAAGACATTAATGGACCACAGATAAGAACAGGGAACTATTGGAATGCTACTATACAAGTAACCCCAGTGATAGGGGGGTACATACGGAGAATGTGGGACCTATGGATACTCCGAAATCATCTAGACTAACATCGAAACAACTAGTAGCTCAGTGCTCTAACATCTGCAAGAAGCACCTGCTATCACAACCAGAGATTGACGAGGTATAACACAAATGCTCCAGCAAGGGGGAGCCAGGACGCCAGGTCAGGGGGGATGATATCATCATCACCCCCACAATCAGAGATTGGGTACCAAGCCCCAATGGCAAGCCCAGATGAGCTTAATTCAAGAACAACTGGCCTGAGATTGAAGATCACAAACAAGATGGACACCAAGAACCTCCATGACCGGTTAACAAGACTAAGTGAAGTGCCTTCTGAAAGTCTACTAGAGGATGTGAATTCAGCACCAAGAACAATCCTTACTACAACCATCACTGAGACCAACAAGCTCATATACATCACAGCAATCGTGATCCTTGATATACTTGGCTATAATCAACAAAGACCATAAGGAGCAGTATCCTCCATGGAGAAGGAGGTTGGAAACCAAGATCAAGGCAGCAAGGAGAAAAGTTAGCCAGCTATCGAAATTGCAGAAAGGCATGATGAAGAAAATGGTACCTAAGAAGTACAACACACTGTCCATACCTGAGGCCTTAGAGACTGCCAAGCAAAGGCTCACTGCCCTGGCCACCCGGCTGAAGAGGTACACCAGAGAAGTTGAAACCAGGAGAGTAAACCGAATGTTCTCCACTGAGCCCTCCAAGGTGTACTCTCAGTGGCAGGGCAACAACATGAGAGCAGACCCACCAAGGCTGGAGACTGAACAAATCTGGAAGAGCATATGGGAGAAGGAGGCATAACATAACAACAATGCCCAATGGCAGACATTCAAGAGAGGGTTTCAAGTAAGAAGAACTGGACAGCACCAGGCCCTGACATGATCCACGCCTACTGGTTAAAAAGCTAACTTCACTCCATGAGCGGCGGGACAAATGAACGAGCTACTAATGGATGGAACCCACCTTGAGTGGTTAACTGAAGGCCGGACAATCCTGATCCTGAAGGACCCTCACAAGAGAGCAGTACCATCCAACTACCACCCAATAACCTGCCTCTGCACAACATGGAAGCTCCTGCCAGGCATCATAATGGCTATGATGGGCAGGCGCATGGCTCAATACATGAGCAGCGCCCAGAAAGGAATTGGTAGTAACACCAGAGGTGCAAAGCAGCAGCTACTGGTTGATAAAATAGTCACGCGAGACTGCAAGACCAGACATACCAACCTGTGCACTGCCTGATTGACTACAAGAAAGCCTATGACTCAATGCCTCACACATGGATCCTGGAATGCTTGGAACTGTACAACATCAACAGGACTCCAAGAGCCTTCATCAAGAACTCAATGGAAATGTGGAAAACAACCCTAGAGGCCAACTTCAAGCCAATTGCACAAGTCAACATCAAGTGCAGTATCTACCAAGGGGATGCTCTGTCCCCGCTGCTGTGCTGCATAGGGCTGAACCCCCTCGGCCAGATCATAACCAAGAGTGGTTACAGATGCCGACTACGGAATGGAGCAACCATCAGTCACCTCCTCTACATGGATAACATCAAGCTGTATGCCAGAAGTGAACAAGACATAGACTCACTGATCCACACCACTAGGATCTACAGCCAGGACACTGGAATGTCACTCGGACTGGATAAGTGTGGTCGAATGGTAACAAGAAGAGGGAAGGTAGTCAGAACTGAGGGGACTGTACTACCAGGAGGAAACACAGCAGATGTTGAATGCAGCTACAAGTACCTTGGGATCCCGCAGGCAAATGGGAACCATGAAGAGGCTGCAAGGAAAGCAGCAACTACCAAGTACCTGCAGAGAGTAAGGCAAGTCCTAAGAAGTCAGCTGAATGGAAAGAACAATTAATGGGCAATTAACACCTACGCCCTGCCGGTCATCAGGTACCCCGCTGGCATAATAAGCTGGCCAAAGGAGGAGATAGAGGCCCTCTGACATCAAGACAAGGAAGCTCCTTACAATGCACGGCGGTTTCAACCCAAGTCCAGAATCCTGAGACTCTACACTAAGCGAAAAGGAGGCCGAGGATTAGTAAGCGTCAAAGCCACTATCCAGGATGAAACAACAAAGATCCATGAATACATCAGGCAGATGGCCCCGAGTGATGACATGCTTAGTGAATACCTCAGGTAACAGAAACCAGAAGAACAAGGGAAGGAAGAGCAGGAACCCTCATGGAAGGACAAACTCCTGCACGATATGCACCACCGTCAAATAGAAGAAGTGGCTGATATCGAAAAATCCTACCAGTGGATGGACAAAGCTGGATTGAAAGACAGCACAAAGGCACTAATCATGTCAGCACATGAACACGCTCCAAGTACAAGATCAATAGGGGCAGGGGGTCTACCATACCAGACAGGACCCCAGGTGTAGGCTGTGCAAAGATGCCCCTGAGACAATCCAGCACATCGCGGGGTGCAAGATGCTAGCAGGCATACATGGAATGCCATAACCAAGTGGCTGGCATAGTGTACAGAAACATCTGTGCCGAGTACAGGCTGGAAGTCCCAAAGTCAAAATGGGATACACCTTTTTTATGGAATTTTTTTAATGTATATTTAGAGAGTCCACATATATAAAATTGTTAAATGAAATAAAAATGAATGGAAATTTAATTATATTAAATACGTATTATCATAATACATAAAACAAAATTTTTATGACCCTCAAAATGACGAATACTAAAAGTCTAGCGCGACCTCTGCATCTAACTAATTCTCTGCTTGCTGGAGATACTCTTAATCATAAGATTTTGTAAACTAATCTTCTTGGTTTGGATGATTACACTTAGTTAGTTCAAACCATATCTTTTAGGTAAAGATGGTTTCAAATGGCCAGACAACTGATCAAGGATCAATATTAGCCCCCCTGCTATTTACATAAGTAAAGCTCATTTTCATTTGAGTTCATTCAGACACTGCAATGTCCATTTTTATACTGGCAGAACTATCTTTTATGCCAGTGGCTCTACTGCAAACCAGGACCTGTGCAGATCGGTCTGCTCTACACAACCTTCAAACCTTTTTTTGTGATTAAAAATTGTTCTAAACTCAGATAAGACCAAATGTAAGCACTTCACAAGCACACAGCTTTGATGTTCCTACTCTCATCTATTCTCTTAATGTGAATGCAATCACTACGGTGATGTAATACATCTATATACAATTAATTGATAGAGATTTCAGGAATAAATAAAACTTACAAAACACACGGGTCAGATGCTGAAGAAGCAGACATTTCTTTACCTCTGCCAAGGGTGGGGTTATGTTTTTGCCTGCATTTGTTGGTTTGTTTGTAAAAACAAATGGATACAAGTGGCAGAAATGAGTTTCCTCCAAAGAGTGGCTGGGCACACCCAGGGATAGGGTGCGGAGCTCAGTCACCCGTGCAAGTTGCACCCACTGCTCCTCCACGTTGAGCGGAACCAGTTGAGGTGCCCTATGTCTCCTGGCTGGCCTGGAAACGCCTTGGGGTTCCTCCTGAGGAGCTAGAGGAGGTGTGTGGGGAGAGGGAAGTCTGGGAGGCTCTGCTTGGGCTACTGCCCCCGCGAACCGGTTTCGGATGAAGCAGATGAAGATGGATGGATGGATGGATGGCTTGTTTTTTTAACAGCATAACTCTAAAAGTAATAACTGGATTTTGATGAACATTTTTGGAGGGGTAGGGTATGGGCCACAGAAGAATTGATTACATTTTGGTGCTGATTCATATCATAATTTGGATACAGGAATATTTTAAATATTATTCACCATTGTGAGTGCTGGAAAGGATGCTGAGTGTATCTGAGCCCCCGTGGCCAGCATGCTTGGCTACACTGCTGAGCACTTTGATCACAAGACAAATCCCCGGGTTAGTGACAGCGGCCTATTCATTGTTAATGGAAACCGAGTGCTGTCACTCCGTACATCCTGCTGTGTGAGACAGACAGTGAAGGATTCCAGCAAGGCCACAGGTCAGAGGTTTTAGGTACAGGATTCAGCAGATGCTGTCGTATTGCATTTGCATAGTGAGCTGTGACTGGCTTTCAGATTTGTGACATCACATATCGGGTATGTCCGTGGATGTTTGAAATCATGATTTCTAGAAGCAGCCTGACGCTAACCCCTTCAGCAGAATAATGTGACACCTGGTTAGTGACAAACTGCACATACACCAGTCAGTACAGTAGAAGTCTGACATTTTATGTCATATAAACATTTTTTTTTAAACTTGTTTTTGAGTTTAGGGGGGTCTTTAAAGTGTTTGATGTTTGTCTTTTTTTTTTTTAACCTTAGCAAATTACATCACATGGTGCATTTGACGGGTTAAAATGATTTCTGTGATGAAGGTCGAAATAAACACAAGGTAGTGCTCCCAGTGGTTTCAAAGTCCTGTTTGACGTAAATATACCTGGGTGCCTGGTTAGGAAAATAACACTCCAACAGAGGAATCACATGACCAAGAAACTGTGCACCTTGCACTGTCCACTGCAGAACTTGGCAGTCAGCCTTCCCTGTGTTTTGGAAACTGTGTTTGATAGTTAATTGTTAAGCGCTCATCATAGTGTTTAATTACTTTGTTACTTATTTATTGCACTTAAAAGTGATGACAAAGTGAGGGATTCTAGGGAATGAATAATAACCAGAGTGCTAAGAACAGAGCCTCTTTTAATGATAAAAGCACAGAGACATGCTTTTATTTTGGTAGATTACTTTAAGAGCTTAAGAATTCCCTCAACATACTATCAAATAAATGGCCCTCTAAAGTAGTAAACAGAGATATCGCCACTTTTTAGTGGTCACACATTTATACCTTTAAAAGTTTTCCTATGACACATCTACAACTGGTATATAAAACGATAATGAATGCTTGCTATTATAGCATTGTTGAATTTACAACAGATTCTTTTCATAGTTTTTAAACCCTATCTGTGAATGATCTCTCCTACATATAAACAGTTAATAAAAGGTTAATAAATGTTTTATAACAGAAAATCCACATGTTTAGGATTGTAAAATTATAGTGTTATGATTCATTTGTTGTGTAATGAGCTAACTATTTATACAGTTCATCAGGGAGGCTTCATCAGTGCTCTAATTGTTAACTCGTCAAACAACATAAAACCTCTTTTTATTTATTTTTTACATTTGCACTATTATTTGACAAATTAATCTCACCACAAGGTCTATTTAGTAGCTGTTCCAGAGCTTTCAACTATATCTCATGCTGTTCTACAGCAGCTGGAGTTTGTCCAGTTGTCCTGGAATTGTGGAAGGAGAACAATAAAGATTTTATGACCATATTGGCAATAGATGAGCAATTTCATCTGCTGAGAAACATCATGTGAAACCATCAAAACCCCCAGAGCTAAATGGACTTTGTGAGATTTTGTTGACTACTGCATGAATGAACCTGAACTTTTAAGCAAGCTTTTAAGATGCTCCTTAGAGTGCTCAGAAGATTGTAAATTTGTCCATCTCATTTGACATAAGTCTGGATTTTTATTTTTTCTTTGAAGCCGGTTTAAAATTTAGCTGGAGCTACTGTCGGAACAACAAGTGCACTAATGGTTTAAGTACTGTAAATTCACTGGAAATACATTTAACTGTGATGAAAGTGGGATGATAAACACATGATAATTAAGATAAGACATGATAAAACAATATGGAACAAAATGATAGTAAAATGAATAAAAGGCGGAGACATAAAATTAGAATTAGGTACATGAATCCATCCGCAAGAAAAAAAATAATGCCACCGTTTGCAGTTTTCTGGTTTTCTGCATAAACTGGCCATGAAATGTGATCTGATCTTCACCAAAGTCACAAATATCCACAAACACAATATTTCTAAGCTGATAAAACACAAACAGTCCTAATCTGTCATGTCTTTATTGAACACACCCATTAAACATACAAAGTCACAGCAACAGTGTTTAAATAACTGGCTGAACCACCTTTGGCAGCAGTAACCTCCAGCCAGTGCTTCCTGTAGCTGTGGATTAGATCTGCACAACGAATTCTGGACCATTCTTCCTCACAGAACTGCTTCAGCTCAGCCATATTCTTAGGACGCCTGGTGTGAACGTCTTAAGATCACTCCACAGCGTCTCTATTTGGTTGAGGTCTGGGCTCTGACTGGGCCACTCCAAAAGGTGGAGTTTGTGTCTCTGAAGCCATTCTGTTTACTTTGATGTTTAGGGTCATTGTCCTGCTGCATCACCCAGCTTGTTCTGAGCTTCAGCTTGCCGACAGCCACCCTGACCTTATCCTTTAGGACACCTTGATAAACTTGGGAATTCATTTTCCCTCCACAATGGCAACTGGTCCAGGTCCAGAGCAAAGCAGCCCCACATCATGATGCTGCCTCCACCCTACTTCACTGCTGGGATGATGTTTTCATGTTGGTACAAGGTTCTCTTTTTTATGCCACACATAGTGCTGTGTGTTCTTCCCAAACAGTTCTACTTTCATTTCATCTGTCCACTGGACATTTTCCCAGTAGTGCTGTGGAGTGTCAAGGTGGTCTTTGGCAAACTTCTAGTGTTGTTTTTGGAGAGCAGTGGCTGCCTCCATGGTGTCCTGCCATGGATACCATGCCTCTTCAATAGTTTGCATATGGTTGACTCATGAACAGAGATGTTGGCCAACTCTAGTGAATCCTTCAAGTCTTTATCTGTTACTCTAGGGTTCTGTTTTACCTCATTGAGCATTCTGCATTGTGACTTTGGAGTAATCTTAGCTGGGCGCCCACTTCTATGGAGAGTAGCCACAGAACCAAATCATCTCCATTTATAGACAGTATGTCTCACTGTGGTCTGATATCTGAAGTCTTTGAGATAACTAACCTTTTCCAGCTACATCCAAATCAACTGTTGATCATAGGCCTTCTGAAATCAGCTGATGCTGTTTGTGAACAGCACACTGACAGTGTTTGAGTGTTTGTCTAAGTCCAGGTATTTTCAAACCACACCTCAATTCTTGTTTCATTAAGTGGACCCCAGGTTTGCCAACACCTGATGCCAGCTGACATTTAATGACATCAGAAGACAAGTGTTGTTACTTTTTCCACTATCACTTTATATGTTTAATGACTGTGTTCAATAGAGACATGAAAGATTGTGACAGTTTGTGTTTTATCAGCTTAGAAACATTTTGTTTGTTGATATTTGTGACTTTGGTGAAGATCAGATCACATTTCATAACCAACTTATGCAGACAACCAGAAAACTGCAAACAGTGGCATTACTTTTTCTTGGGGCTGTATTACCCCAGTGTATGATGGGAGGGCTCCTAACTCGCCTACCTCATGTACCTGCTATCCCATGATCAAAACTCAGCCAGTCAAACAAATGCTGATCATGGTTTCAACTCTCTATTCCTTTTGTCTGCATTTAAAACAAATGCAAATGATTACTTTAGGATTTAATCAATCCTCCAACTACTTCATAGGAACCAAATTAGCTGGATAAGAATTGACAGGTTTAGCATTTTAGCCTAATAAACATGTTACCCTGGATTAGTTAAGCAACATCTAAAACAGTTAGCTAGATCTGTTGGGTAACTATTGTCATATATACACTTTATGGAGTGATAGCATGATGTAACTTTGACAAATTTAATTGTTTCCTTACGTGACAAAGGAGCTGGCCAGAAGACCGACTAGGCCGACAGCAGCGCCACCCACTGCAGTAATTCTGCAGCCCAGGATGTCCGTGAATACGCTGACAATGGGAGAGCAAAGGAAAATCATCCCCATGGAGAGGGAGCCCACCCACGCTGCAGGAGACACAGAGACAGAAAGCAAGTGAGGATGAGTGAGATAATCTAGCATAGGCTGTTAAATCAGACTGATTATCATTTCAAATTCAAAAGAGCATATAACGTTAAAGACATCACAAAACCACCTCCAGGAAGATGGTGCTTAATATAAATGCTACACACAATGACAACTAAACAATGATGCAACAGAACACTGTTGCTCTTGTATCCATGCACATAAACAGTGTACACTGCACTTCCTCAGGCAACCAACCAACACGTCATGAGCTTCCTTTTTATATCCTGGGTATTAATCATACTCTACATTGTTTGTATCTGTATTCATTTTTATTTGTAATCTTGACAAAAACATGTTTAGCAAAAGCCATGGAGATGCCACTTGACTTTCCAAGAATGACAGGCAACAGCAGAAAAACACACTGAATGGACAGGAAGAAGTGATCAGGAAAGCACTTGGGCCTGAAAAAAGATACAGTGCACAGATACCAAGGAGATATCATTCCCCTTTACTAAAACTGATGCAGGAAACAAACAACTTTTTTGATGATGCCTTTTGATAAGACATCGTTTAGCCTACAACTGTATTTATGGGTGTCTCCATTGTTCTATCCTTAGCCTTCACACACAGTACATGTTGTTTGCGTTACTGGGCATCATTTCCTCGCTGTCTGGGCCAAAGGTCAGTCTGATGACAAACAGCAGCATCTAAGTGCAAACAGACTGATTCCAGTTTCCCAGTACCTACTGTAAATGTACAATAATTGGTAAGGAATTGGTATAGTAATTGCTACAAGGCAGGAATAAGGGTGAGAGGTCAACTAGGAAGCTTCAACAACAAATATCAAAACACACACTAGCCACTTGAGTTCTGTTAATGTGAAAGGTGAGAAAAGGGGAGGGTCAAACCAGGGGTACAGTATACTGTAGGTGGACAGAAAAGCACTTAATTTGACATATAGTATTCAAACTCCACTCTAAAGCTCCTCACACACACACACACACACACACACACACACACGGTGGCAAGAAAAAGTATGTGAGCCTTTTGGAATTTCATGGTTTTCTGCATTATTTTGTCATAAAATGTGATCTGATCTTATGTGAGTAGTATGGTGAGGGGGAAGTAAGGTGGGAGGGTTCTTCCTGAAGTCCACTGTCATCTCCACTGTTTTGAGCGTGTTCAGCTCCAGGGTGTTACAGCTACACCACAGAACCAGCTGCTCAACCTCCTGTCTGTAGGCTGACTCGTCACTGTCTCGGATGAGACCGATGACCGTCGTATCATCAGCAAACTTTAGGAGTTTGACAGCGGGGTCCTTCGAGATGCAGTCGTTGGTGTAGTGTGAAAACAGAAGCAGATGTCAGGGCGACAGGTCTGTAGTCACTCAGTCCACTGATGAAGGTTTTCCTGGGGACTGATGATGATGGAGCGTTTGAAGCAGGAGAGGACTTCACACAACTCCAGTGGCCTGTTGAAGATGAGTGTGAAGATGGGAACCAGCTATCAGCACACACTTTCAGGCAGGAGGGGGCCACGCCATCTGGGCCTGGTGCAATATTAAGTACATAAAAATAGTTTGTATTGCAATATTTTGATACCACTGAATTGCTTCTAGTTTTGATGGTTTTTGTTAAATTTGCATTTGTACAAAGCCCGGTCGAGGCAAAAGGCCGCCCACCAAGAGCCAGGGTCTGTCGGAGGCTTCTTCCGTTAAAGCCTTGGTTCTCAAAGTGTGGGGCGTGCCCCACTAGTGGGGAATAAAGACATGACAGGTGGGGCGCAATGAAGGGAGAAAATTAGAAGTGGGTCATTAATACAAGTAAATTAAAACAACATCAGTTCACGGCCCAGGAGAAAAAAGTGGAACCATAGTGCTACGATAACGGTTTACCGTCGACATGTTAACGGCAACTCAACAATATAAGTAAACTTTCACACAGAGGGCCAAAAGTGTACATAGTAGGTATAATAACGTAAATGGATAAATGTGTTACATGGACCACAAAAAAAAACTGGCAATTCAGCGCAAGCAGACAAAAGAAACAACAGGCAGTAGCCTTATCAACCAAAAAGCCAGCTGAAAAGAAAATATGATGAAGCCCATCTTGCGCTTGGATTCACTGTGGGAATTGTGGGGGCAGAGGAGAGACCCATGTGTGTCTTGTGTCTCAAAAACAGCTGGCAGCAGACAGCATGAGATCCAACAAATTAAGAAGACATTTAGAGACAACACACCACAGTCACGTTAATAAACCACTCGACTTCTTTAAAAGAAAACTGGCAGAAAACCGTCAGCAGGCAAATCGCATGGTAAAATCCACATCAGTGAGCAAAAATGGCTTCATTCAAAGTTGCAAACAGAACTGCCCAGTGCAAACAACTCCCACACAATTACTGAGCAGATTGTGATGTTTGTGTTGTGGGTTCTTCATAATATTACACGGGGTTGGCTTGAAGAGAAACTATATGTGTGTGTGTGTGTGTGTGTGTATATAAGTCACTTCATAACATTGTTGTCACGTAACAGTCAGTAACATAACTCCTTACTATACAGCGCATGCTCCAACTAGCTCTTTAAGGGGCCAGCACCTAGTGCTTGTATCATTACACAGCTCATTCTCCCTGCTGCTGTAGACATGGTGTCGATTATGCTGGATGAGAAAAGTGCTGCAAAATTGAAAACCATCCCTCTGTAAAATGATACAGTTGCACTTATATTTTATCTGTTTTGAACTTGGTGTTATTTGATATTTAAATAAATTTGATATTTTAAAATTGGCTGATTTCGTTATCATTTTTTGGCAAGTGGAGCGTGAAAATTTGCCCACCCTCTTAAGTGGGGAATGACAGAAAATGTTTGAGAACAACTGCGTTAATGGGAGTTTTTCCTCCCTACTGTCACCAAGTGCTGGTCAAGGGGGATTTGATGGGTTTTCCTCAATAATAATAATAATAATAATAATAAGGTCTAGACCTTACTTTGTAAAGTGTCCTGAGACAACGTTTGTTGTGATTTGGTGATGTACAAATAAATTTTGAATATGAACCTACGTCATTATACTGTATCTGGTCATTTTTTACATAATCAAACCAATTCTAGAAAAGGGGGAAAAAGAGGAATAAAATATGAGTATTTCACAGCTAGCTATACATTGTTTTCATTGAATTTTTAATTGTATCCTGTTTGAATCGAATCATACACACCATATTGTGTGTCCAATTGTATCAAGAAAAGTTCATATCATCCCATCCCTAATATTTATACAACACCAGTTGGTTGGCAATCACTGGGTAAGAACAACAAAAAAAGACTGCGTGTGGAAGCACAGAACGGCCCTAATGGATCTCTTCTGTTTGTGAGTAAATTCACCAGGCCTACATTAAAGCATTTGGTTGAAAGGTTATCTGTTAACCAAAGTCAACAGAAATAACTAATGGACAAGCGTAATTGGCATGTTATAGTGGTGTGCAGGACATTTTCCTGGCTTTGTCAAATAAACAGCATGTCCCTGTAATACATTATAGGAGTCTGCTGACTAAAGATGCTCAGACTTAAATCTACCTCCAAAATAGAGAATAACGTCAGACTTCATTTAACAGAGAGCATTTAAAACTCCTATGCTTTATATCTCAGGCACTGAAATACAAAAGGAGTTAATAAATCAGATGTGAAAACAAAACAAAACACAGGACCAGATGTTCCTCTGTATCACTACATTAACATGGAACCATGCAGTAGGGCTTCTCATTTTTTCATGATGTAATGTTAATGAAACAGGCTTTCTCCCCTTTTTTTTAATACAAAAAGCACATCTAATTATCGGTCGAAGCAGTAAAATACCTAACCATCTGTCAGACTGACAGTGATTTAACTGCTTTTACATAGAAGACATCTGTTTAACTTAATACAACCCAGCAAGAAGACAAATGTACAGAACAGACATGCTATGGATTTCTTTTCTTTCTTCTCTGAACTGACCCACTGACATGTTTTCCCCCCCAATGATATGAAGGTGAAAAGATGAAACTGAAGATTTTTAGCAGTATCAATATTTATTTGCATTCATTCAAAGAATATTTTGCAATGTTCTTATTTTTATCCTAGAATCTTTTGATTGTCTGACTTCAAACCAAATCCAAAGCAAAGCATAGCATCTTTGGAAAAGCCTTGATCATTACACGTCTGAGCACACTGGGGCTATGTATCAGCACGTGGCCCCAGGTTTACTGGATCTCCACAGGAAGACGTAATGACAGAGCAGCTCAACGAGCTGAATGGCTGCTGCAGCAGAACCTCCCCCAAGAACCTCATCAGCCAGATCACATTGCAATTGGAATTTCTGTCCCACTGACCTGAGGTCAGGAAGTAGAACATGCTGTACTGAAACACTGTAGGCTCCCACAAGGCAGGGCAGATTTTTCTTTGACAAAGACAATGGAAGTGAGAGAAAAGGATGAAAAAGTAAAGGTACATAATTTGGTGTCGAGACCTTTGCATTTCTCAGCTGGCCTTGTACAACTCCAAATCAGAAAAAGTTGGGATGGTATGTAAAATCAAAATTAAAACTGAAAATAGTAATTTGTAAATCATCTGTGTCCTGTATTACATTGAAAACAATACAGCAGCACATTATTTGATGTAATACGGTGTGATGTTGCCGCTCCTTTTCACAACACTTAAAAGACGTTTAGGGAATGAGGACACCAATTGTTTAAGTTTGTCAGGTGTTATTAAAATATATTTAGGGACTGAGGACATCAAGTGATTAGATTTGTCAGGTGTAATTTTGTCCCATTCCTCCTGCAAACAAGTCTTAAGGCATGTAACAGTCCTGGGTCTTTGTTGACACAATTTGCATTTCAAAATATGCCACACATCCTCTACTGGGGACAAGGTGGGACTGGACTTCCTCCACAGTCATGCTTTGGTAATGTGTGCAGTATGAGGTCTTAAACTGCCTTGTTGAAATATGCATATGCATATGTTGCTCCAAAA